GTGTGTGTGTGTGTGTGTGTGTGTGTGTGTGTGTGTGTGTGTGTGTGTGTGTGTGTGTCTGTGTGTGTACAGTATCTGTGTGACAGTGTGTGTGATGGTTGTGGTGTGTAATCCTGGTGACTAATACTGCTGTCAACCTCCAGGCCTCACTAGTCCCACTTCAGGAAACGTAAGCTCATAAGGAGATCCTGTTTAAAAGGTAAATTCTGAGACATTTGGGACTTTTTAAAGACACACCCAGAGATGTTTCTGATCAGCTGCAGTGGATACCTGAAAAGGGAATTGAAGTGGTGCACTTGAGATACAAGGGAAACTGAGACGGATTCATTTAGGACTTTTTGGGAAGAAATGATATAATAATAACTTATATTTAACACGTCATTTTGTTACAGAACTCTCTCTCTGGCTGTATGCTATCGAACACAAGTATGTTGCAGCTTCTCTAGCTCTGATATGACTAGGGGCTTATGGTGGCTTAGTTAGCAATCTTTACACAGATATTGCTGTTTAACTAACATTTCATTATCTTATTGGGGCTGAAGACAACCAATGGAATACATCTGGTGAAAGTGGATATATATAAGTGTGTTGTTTTTGCTGTATGAATAATTATAAATGAGTTCTGTGATGTTCTTTATTGTCTTCCTCTCTAAATAACTTCATGAACCATGTTTGAACATGTGGTTTGAATAATTGATGATATACATTAAATGTATGTTATTTTAATTTGAGGGTAAAGTTTCTAACACCTTGTTCTCCACATTGCAGGTTTAGAGGGAGTGTGTGAAGCGTAATATTTATGTCGTCATTTTTCTTGAATACTTTTCAATGAGGTGGCTTTAATGTTATGAAAGCTTTTCATAAACAGGGTGACACTGACAGTGACAATGATTTTCTCCACGCTCACCCCCTAAATACTGCTCACATCATCATCTTCACTCATTCGCCGAGTGCACAGTAATGAGAAGAGCAAGATGTGTTAAATGTATTGCTCTTAATAGTGATAGGGGTCAACTACTAAGTAACGGAGATATCTCAGAAAAAAAGTATATTCTTCACAAATGCCTGATGATTAATTAGCTAGAACATTCAATCTGTGTGCTCATATATTGCTACTAATTCCCCACAATGCAACGTTTATTCTGTCCCTACAGATGGAGATTTTGGGAGAGAATCAGTGAAGCAGCGAGGGTGCATGGGATTTTTTGGAGAAACACATTTAGAAGCCACAGGTCTGGCATACAACATTGGAAGTAAGCGATGCTAATGCAGCATGAAGACTTCTCACAGACCAACACTCTCCATCTGCTGTAGCTCAAATAAACACAGATCTATATACGCTGCCTCAGCTTAAATCAATCGTATCTTTGCCCAAGTTCGCACACACACACACACACACACACACACACACACACACACACACACACACAAACATACTCTTGCATACTCTTAGGATTACCTTTTTTAAAGGCCAGCATTCAATCGAAATCCTAAAATTACCTAAATTCTTGACAGTTAAGCCAAAAACCTTCCTCCTTAAAGCCGGGCTAACAGCAATGACACCAGCTGGACCACCTCTGATGCCCACTGTGTGTTGTCACTGTAAGATTCCCAATATAACACCAAGCTATGCCAGAAAGACAGAGCTGGACCAAGCCATATCAACAGACCATCCGACCACTATTAATCTTTGAAACCATTTTTGTTTTTAAATATTCTTGGCTGTGTCTTTGCATCAGAGTCAGAGTCACTTGTTCCTGCTGTCAATCAAAGCTAACTAGCGGCCGACCTTAGAGAAATCTAAACACTTTTCTAACGGAAATTCAATATCATTTTCCTTTTTTCATAAACTGTTTATCTGCTCTGTAAAATAAAAATGTCCTGTGCTTTCTTATGAGAAAAATAGGAAAGTAAAAGCAAGGAATTTATATATATTCAGATTTAGAGCTATAGCTGTCATCAATCAAACACAGATGTCCCTGTCAGCCAGCTGAGACAGCTGAACAAATACATCTGATATTTCCCCAAAGTAATATTTCCTATTTAAAAATCAACAACATATTTATTGAACGTGTTGAGTGGGAACATGTATGCCTGATGTGACTTAAGTTGCACGTGAAACTTTAAAGGGTTCTGGTCTTTAGGACATTTTAAGATCCAAGGGCACTGCCCATGGTGCTGATCCGAGTTAACTCTAGAGCAGACACCAACACTAACTCAAAGGAAATACACTGATGTTCTTCCTCTGTCTTTAAAATATCATTACAGAGAGTGTCCAAATAAGGTTTACAGATGTGTATCCATGTTGTCCTCCTCGTACTAAATTAAATTGCAATTTTTAAGGGTTTAACCTTTTCGTAGTCACGAGTGACAAAGGTACAGATTCATAGGGCAAAACACCGAAGTCACAATGAATGTGAAATGAACGTAATGCAGTTTTCTTAATATAGATATTATGATATAAACAAAATAAAGTGCAAATCGTTGATATATCTATTCAGATTAGCAAATAGATTTCTTGAACAGGTTCTAACTATTTAATGGAGCATTTTATAGTATTTTAATGATCGATAGTTTTATCTAGTTTAAAGCAGTTTGATTCATTAAATACAGAACATAAACTGCATTGAGGATCTTTTTTTCTTTCTCTATTAAAATAATTAGATTCACACATGATGCTTGTACGACCTTTTGGATTTTGTTGAGCATACATCGCTTTTTCAGCAGGATATATGGATCACTTCCCTACTGTATGCAGATTCCATCACATGTGCATACAGTAGCTGGTGGGAGCTTCATTATATTCTGACAGGGCCTTCCACATCCTAATGAATTTTGCCCCCCACCTTCATAAGTTAAACAACCTGCATCCACATTCGGACTGGGGAGATTTTCCTTACTATACATTAATGTTGACCCAAATTGGTCTGCATCCTCCCTGTGTGATATTCTGGCCTAAACTCCTCCTCGCATGTTTTCACTACAAATGTTCTAGCTCTACCTACTTGCACTAAATAACATGTTTTTCCTGGTGATGCTTTCCTCAAGGTACATTTTGCTGCCTCCTCTATTTTTAAAACTAGTGACTTAATGTACATATAATATATTGACAGCTGTTTTTTCATATACTGCAAATAATGACCTTTAAGAAAATACAAAAGATGAATCCAAACTGTTTTGTTGAGTGGCAAACATCTAGTTTTTAGAACATGTCATTATCTCACATTAAAGTACTTCACATTAGATTCATTTCATGAGTTAAATAGATATTTCCTCAGCCTTTTTAAAGGACCTGTGTCTTATACTCTGCAGCTCTTACCAATAACAACACCTCCCTGAAACACCTCTGACTCAATAAAACATGGCTGATGGCACAAAGGGACCAGGGGAACTGGTGCCATGTATCTGTGTGTGTGTGCGTTTGTCTATGTGTTATTATCACAGCATCCCATTTGCAGATCGGCAGTTATAACCTGGTATCCTAGGTTACGGCCTTCTCAATCACTCCCAGAAGACACACATCCAGGATAGTGCCCACTCTGTCTCTCGGTGTGTGTGTGTGTGTGTGTGTGTGTGTGTGTGTGTGTGTGTGTGTGTGTGTGTGTGTGTGTGTGTGTGTGTGTGTGTGTGTGTGTGTGTGTGTGTGTGTGTGGACTGGTGGGTATGTTGCACAAAAAGGTGAATTTCTTAAACTTCAGGATACAAAAGTAGGGAAAAAAGAATTTATATTGGTTTCTATTCATCAGCTATATATATTATTAAGTAAATAAATACATACAACCTTGTTTAATGATATGTATACAGACTTTAAATCTAAAATGGCATCTATGTTGTTCGATCTTCACCATAAGCAAAATGTACTGCAGTGTTAGCCACACCTAACAGTGATATTTCAGACGCCCAGATTACACCTGTTGGAGACAGTTTCTGTTTTGTGCAAACAGTCAAAAGATTATTGCCAGCTAGTGGCGACCTCTGGAAGCTGTAGTCAATTATGGGAATGCAATTGCTATTTCGCTTCAGCCCATCAGGAGAGACAGAAGTGAGCGTTTTGGAAATGAAGATCCAGACGAGACACATCTCCCAACCGTTCTATTTACACCTCGGGGTCATTTAAGTTTGCTAATCATTTTCTTCTGTCTATTTGATTAGATTACAGTTTTAAAGTAACTCAAAGGAAATGTGTATTTCTACGAGGTATCTTAAGCGTTTGGACAGCACGAACAGACAACTGTGCATCACTTCAGGAAAGAGATCACATGTGATTGAAGCCAATGTATTTTGTGTACTCACCCTCAGGTCTGTACTGCGCTACTATGGTAACGGTCTGTCCTGCGTTCTTCAGAGCTGCTGCTGCCTGCTCATGTGTTGCACTGGACAGGTCCACACCATTCACCTACACAAAGACACACACACACACACACACACACACACACACACACACACACACACACACACACACACACACACACACACACACACACACACACACACACACACACACACAATATTAGGGCCTTGGATCAATAGTAATTCATGTACACTGAGCAGAGCACACCATTAAGAACACTGTACAGCTTGATGCATCAATAACTCACATGAATGTGTAATGCGTGTGTACATTGTGAAAACATGCTTATTGCATTTAATCATTCCATGTCAATGATTTCATTATACGAAGTCATTCTGCAGGGATTATCACTGCCTCGACAATATGAAAACTGATACCTGTTAAAATCCCATTTAAAGAAAGTTAAAGCCATATTTCATTTAAGCGGAACAAAAAATACAAAAAAGCGGTAACACACATCCCCCAGCAGCCATTAGTAGACACTCACAATGTGTAGAAAACATTAAATATTGCTGGAATTGTCCTTAGATAGAAGAAACAATGAATGCATGGTAAATGTTAAATGTTAAAAGGAGTGCATTTATATAGAGCCTTTCTCCCTGACCAAGCACTTAAAAATGTCCATAAACACACACAGTCATACACCAATGGTGCCAAAGTTGCCATTAAATTCAAAATATTCAGCTTCAGCAAAAGTTACTTTGAGTTATGACTTCACATTAATACAAAAGAAAATGGAGGATCCAGAGGAAGATAACTTGACAGGATGACTCCAATGGTAACACTTTCTGACCTACACAGTAATAATGCTAGGATTGGATTTATTTATAATGGTTACAATGCTTGTGTTGTATATCTGTGTGTACTGTTGGTAATACGTGTTACCAACATACCGACAGGATGCGGTCTCCCTTTCGTAGCTCCCCACAGAGATCCGCTGGACCCCCGGCAAGGATGAAGGAGATGAAGATTCCCTCTCCATCCTCCCCTCCAACAATGTTAAAACCGAGACCTGTGGTCCCACGCTGGAGCACCACCCGCCTGGGTTCCCTGGGAGAAACACAAAATAGAGACACACACTTTGTTAGGGTAAGAGATGACGGTGTCCAACATGTGGGAACAAATGCGTTTAAATTTACACTTTTATAATCTGTTTTTTAAGCATGTTAATGTATAAAGACCTCAGTTAATAGTAAAGAAGCAATTACTGCCTTTTGCTGCTAAACTGACTTTTAGTTGTAACTGTTTGACAACATCCTAAGAAACAGTGAAAAGGAGAGGTGGATGATGACATGTTTAGGAAATAAATATAATAAAATCTAATATTGTATACTACATAACTACAAAGGAAAACATATTGAAACTATAACACATAGTTGCTTTAGTGTATTCTAATGTTTTCTAAATGTATAATATCTGGGATACTAGCCATTGTTTAATGCTACATGGTACACCTCAGTGAAAGTAGAGGGCATTTAAAATTGACATAATTCCCCAGGATGTCCAGCAGATGTCAGTAGCGCACTGTCTCTGTTTTGTTGCACCAGCACGATATTAACCATGTCTTAAACAGCCACACTTCTGGTTTCATAATGTCTATGTATTGTTTGATTTCATGTCATCCTTACTTTTCACAAACAATCATCATGCAGAAGCTATTCAAAAAAGTGTAAAGTGTTTTGTTAGCAAGTTATCGGGGTATTAATAACCAATCCATACACTGTGCACCCAATTTGGGTTTGATCCCCCTTTAGCCTCTCTAGACCGGACATTAACACATTTAAAACTTGCCAAATAAATGGTCATAAAACTCGGCTTCAACCATCAATTACAGTCATAATTACAGTCAATGATGGGCAACTCAGTTTTAATGCAACAGTTAACTCTGGCCTAATGATACCTTCCATTAAAATGAGTCCTACATATCTCAATAGGTTCCATGCAGTGTGGTGCAAGATACAGATATTACATTTGGGAAAAGGATAGCACTGGTAATCTGTTCCGACAGACCCCCCGAGCTAAGGTGTTGGCATCAGTATATGAGAGAGAGTGTTTCTGTGCACCCCTTGTTCTTCAGCACACATTAACAAATAATCCCACATTGCACCTGAAGTCTCCGGGTTACAGAAACTGCAGATGTCCTTGAATTGAGCACAAGCGGTGGTCACTAATTAAAACCAATAGTCTTCTCTCTGCATGACAAACTAATCAGAGAGTGAAGAGGAATGATGAGAGAGAGCGCTACAAAATAGAGGGGCAGACGTCAAAATGACCATTCTGCAGTCGGTCTGAGGCTTATCAGATTTATTATAATCAAAGCGCACTGATTGGCTCAGAGGGCTATGACAAAAGGAGTCGTATTCTGGTTACCACGTGACGCCAGTTGTGTGACGAGGGTTGTGTGATAGACTGTAATACCTCCATTAAAATGGATTAAAAACAGTAGAGCAGCACAGAAAGAGTATCTGAATGTGTGTGTGTGTGTGTGTGTGTGCGTGTACATATGTGACCTGAGTTTACATGCCAGACCAAATTCTCACTGCCATCTGCCCTTTGCTGCCAAACACACGCACGCTCAAAGACACACACATACACAGCATGGAAGGCCGTCAGGGACAGAAGTCACTGTGTATTTTGGGCTCTCTAGGGACTCTGTTTCCCAATCTGGTGTTGTGGATCTAATTGAGGGCCACTTAAGACCTCAGAGCGGGACATGAGACACACAGCAAGGAGAAACGAAAGAAAGAGGAAGAGCAGCATTACGAAGTACATAAAAAGAAGCTTTGATGAAATAAGAAATGTCTTTGATGGACAATACAGATGTCTAACTGACCTAATAATACGCCTCAAAAGTTTCTTATAGTGTCTGTTTTATATTCATCTCCATTAGTTTTGGATATGCGGTAGTTGATACATTAACATATAATTAAATGCATTAATCCTTGGGTTATATAATATAATCCTATGTGGGACTAATTGCAATACAATTAATTGGTTTCTTAAACCCAAAATAAGCCATAAATTAAACCATACTAAGATGCGACAAGTTATTATATTTAATTTGTATTGAGTGTAACAATCTAACCCAAGCCATGATCTAATGTAACATATAACAGTAAGTCATTAAAGATATCTAGATAAAAAAAGTTTTTATAGTCATTAACCCTCTATATATATGGTCTGTAGATCAACGTTCTGTATTAGTCATCTTTGGAAACCCAGGGAGGGTTTTAAAAAGTAAACACATTACTATGTTTGTTTTTGCAGTATGGTTCTTTTGTACTCTCAGTGGGTTATCTAAAGTAAAAATGGGATATTGCATTAAAACAGTATTTTGTTTTCCTCTCTCCCATACATGTGTGTGTAAGGTCTTACCTCGGGATGTCGTCTTCTCCGGTCATCGCCCTGGGCAACGGAGAGTATCTGGGCGTGGTCAGCGGGGCGGGGCTTACAGACTGGCTGCCGCTCATGTAGGGGCTAATATGGTTGTCTTGATGTGGGGAGTACGCTGAAGGAAGAAACATGCACATTATTTTGTTCTTATTTTACCATACAGTTATACATACACTATCTTTCTATCTGTATCCGCACTTTTTTGTTCATTGTTAGTATGGAATTAAACATCCTCATCTGACCTTATATGGCATTTCCAGTTTCCATTTCCTCTGACAATCAATCGCAGCTCATACTGTCTTATTTTACGACAATCACTCAAACTGTGAATGAACTATTTATAGTGGAGATATGTGGAGAGATGGTGGTGAGATATATGCTGTTTGGTAAGGTATTAGATTTACAGCAGTAATAAAAGACATGTTCTTTTATAATTTGCTGAATTTGGAGCGGCGACAAGTGGCTGTTATCCACTAGGCCAAATGTACCCGGTCTGATTTTCAGACTGTTATCTAACACATTTAAAGCTGTCTGGTTGATGTCAGTATGTCTTTTAAACCACAACATAGAAAAAAACCAATGAAATTAAAAATACTGAAATGATATGGACACTGTATGAGCACCTAATGATAAGGATAAGGACTATTTTCTTTACTTATTCTGACGTTAAAGAAGTAGTTATATCTTCAACAAAATCCTTGATTCAAACTCTTACAGGTAGCTCCAGGACTGCCATGTTTGCAATGTCAACCACTAGTAGAAACATGCGTTTTCTAGTGTGTGTTGAGCAATACATATCTATGGTTCAGCACTCATTGAACAGTCCACTGTGGTATACGGCACTGAAGTAAAAATGTATGGTGAGGTCTATTAACCACTGAGAGTAAAGTCTGTTGTTATTTGAACCCAAACCACAGCCTTTGCCTAAACCACACTAAGAGTTTATTTTGAAAAGACTGTAGTATGTGGAAATTGTCACGTATTGCTTGACATTTGAGGATATGTTCTGGAAACGTAAGGCTTTTTTTCAAACCATCTAAAGCAAACATCCCAAAAGCCTTCTTCCTCGCTGTTCTGTGCACCATATGGCCCTAAATTGCTTCAGCCTCTTGGTTGATGCTGTAAATAAAGTTCCATAAAATGCCAAATCCTTCAAAAACTCATGTAAGATGAAAAGATGATGGGTGAATCTTGTACTGAAAGGTGTTTGTACTTACAATTGGTGACGTCAGGAGGAGGGAAGTTGTCATTGATAAAAAGGGAGGTGTGTTTGGCCACACGGAGATAAACCACGTCAGGAGTGGACTTCAGCGCAGCCACGGCATCCTCATGAGTCACCTCTTCCAAACAGGAGGCGTTCACCTGGACACACATGAAATCTCTGTTTTCCTGTTTTATTTTGAAAAGTGTTCGCCCCCTGTCTTACAGTATGTCTGAGTCTGCTTCCTTTCTCTGTGTTTTCCCTTCTGTTTGATGACTGATTCTGTTAGTTCTGCATGTATTTAAGTTCAGTTTTTTCTGTTTGTTTTGTGGGTTGTTTGAGTTTGATAAGGAGCGAGTTCTGGTCTGTACGCTGTATGTCAAAGCAACCTTGAATAAAGGTCATTTTCTGTTCAAACGATTGTCCCTGCTGAACTTGGGTCCAACCTGCCTTGCTCACCCTGAGACACGTATTACCATGTCCAGGCATGCTTAACACATAGGCAACATTATGTCCTTTACAGGCTGCAGCACTGACACAACGTTTGGATTCTATCATGCAGTTTTGTGGCTGCAGATGCATCCTAAAATATATTTCTTGACATTAACTTAATAGAGAAGGAAATGTTATTATAAAGGTTTTTTTTCTATGTTCAATTTCACTGCTACTGTTTAAAATATCCTTTAACAGGCTCAGAAGAGTACAAATCTAATTTACTTGTGTTCACTATCCTTCTTTAAAACAACTTATTTAGTCCTTTAAGGTAATTAACATAGAACGTCATTTGTAAGGATACAATAAACCAATGCAATGGAGCACAAACCTGTTTTTGCTCAATTCTTAATTAAAATGATAAACAAGGAAGTCAACCTACATTTTGAAATGTTACTGTAAAATAATATTTTCTGGTTTTGTTAAAGGCAATTCATTTTATATTTGGTATTAGTAAGGGAAATGTATGACACGTAAATAAATGTAATTAATGGAATGAATAATTTGGAGCTTCATTCCCGCTTACGGAGTAATAAGTAGTTTTATTGGATTAGAAGGTACCAAGTGTTGATGTGTGAAATGTAAAGCTTTGCATTTAAGATGAATACAATCTGCTGACTAAGATTAATGAAAGGGGTTTCCTTACAGCCATAAGTTTGTCCCCTATCTGTAGCCGTCCGTCTTTGTGTGCAGCCCCTCCTTCGATGACCTTCGTCACGTAGATACTGTTGTCCCCCGGGACATGTTGGTTTCCGACTCCGCCTGCTATACTGAATCCTAAACCTGAGAGAAAACATCAACAGGTCATATTTTTTATGCAACTTCTGGGTTTCCTGAGGACAAGCATACTGCTATATATTTCCATATACTGCAGTGCTGCAATTTCTCAGTCTCAGGCCCTTTTGAACATTTCTGACATTTAGATTCTTTATTTAATACAATTTACTGCATAGTAAAAAGTGAAATCCAATTAGTTAAACCATACCATCTCATATATTTCATATTTCAAAGCTTTATTGGCTCTATTAGTCTTTTCTAGCACCTGCCAAATCAGAATACTCTATATTTACCGCGGGAACATGCTGACTCAGAAAAGCCTCATCATACTTTCTCACTGTCGCATCGGTTATCATCTGTTTTTTCACAAAGTATATTCTACTCGCAGCTTCCTATGTAGGTTCTGTTTAACTTCTGTAGTGTTTTCTCACCTTTGGGCCCTTTGACCAGCTTGATATCCAGGACCCTCTCGCTGAGGCTCCTCCTGCGCCGTATGCACAGTCGGACCAGACCTCCTGCGTCCTTCAGCGCCTCCACCGCCCCGCTGTGGGTCACGTCCCTGACGTCCGTCTCATTTACCCGGACTATACAGTCGTTCACCCTGCACAGGAAGATAATCATCTTGCATCAGGAGTTTATGAAGAATATAAATGACACACATACAGTCTTAAGCTCAAATGATAGTGCTTCACTCTGAAACAAGAGGTCTAGTTTGGAGACCATGATCTTTTGTAAAGAAAGCAAAGAAAGTGGGAGCAAGCTGTTGTCAACATCTTGTAGTTGTTGTGGCTTGTAAGCTATACAAATAAGAACAAATAATACTTTTACTCAATTATTGTGCTAAATACAATTTGAAGGTGCTTTACTGGATTATTTAAATGTCATGATTCTTCCATTTCTACTTTATATATTTTGGATAATTATACTGTACTTTTTATCCCACTTCATTTATTTGACAAATATAGTAACTATTTACTTGCTAGATTCAGATTATTCATAGGAAATATAAATCAACTAGTAAATTACAATATGTATTGTTTTACCTTTAAGAACTGCACAATTAAAGTTATAGTCCAGATGATTTGTTTAAAAAAGTTTAACATTTCATTTCAGAGTTATGACTAAGATTTAGTTTAAAATAACAATACTGATACTGTTTGTGTTTGTGTGTGTGTGTGTGTGTGTGTGTGTGTGTGTGTGTGTGTGTATGTGTGTGTACCTGAGTCGTCCATTTTGGGCAGCGGCCCCTCCAGGTATAATCTTGGTGATGAAGATAGAGGGGTCTTCTCCGATGTGAGGGTTATCAGTCCCTCCTGCGATACTGAACCCCAGACCTGAGTTACCCTGCTCAGACACACAGATACAGAGAGTGTATTAAAGATAAAATACTTTCCAAACACACATACAGTATTGGTTTTATAAGATAATTGTTGATGCTAGAAGTGTTGGTCATCTAAGACAAACAACATTAAGTATCAGCTGGAAATGCAAACGTCAGGCACAAATCAGTGTGGAAAGAGGACGATAAATAATACAGGATTTATTATTCCCATTTCCAAAATGAACAAAAAGCATCTAAATACTATACTTATCTAAATGGCATTCATTGCAAAACTACATTTAATATCCCCCCAATTTCAACTTATTACAAAACGGATTCATCACCTGAACAAATGATATGTATCATATCTTTCTCCATATATCACTTTTTGACCAAATAATACATAATAGATCACACCATGACTTCATCACGCTCACTCTCTCGTGCTTTGTCACTGATTTTTAGAGCTAGTGTAATGTCTGTGGCTGTGATGCGTGTGTGTCCATAGTGTCTTTAAAGCAGATCCAGTCAGGCAGACAGAACCAGGTCACACGAGAATAGAGAGAGAGGCAGGGAGAGAGCCTCCGGGTGAGAGAAAGGAGAATATAATGAGAGAGGGAGGATGAGGAAAATAAAGAAGGGAAGGAAGGAGGAGGAACGGAGAGGAGAGGGAAACAGGGTTATCAGGGTCGGAGTGATGGACTAGGAACATAAATGAGAAACTAGCTGACAGAGCTGATCAAAGTTTTATGAATAATGTTTTATAGCCGTTTGTTGCTTTTGAGTTGTATTTCTATCTAATACATTTTAATTTCTGAACAGGGGGTTTGATGTGAATTATGACATTTCAGTGTATAAAATAAGCCCGCATGTGGGATGTATGTAAGTCTTTACCCGCTCCAGTGTGATTTCCTCATACTCATAGTCTGCTTCTGTTCCATTGACCTGTCAGGGAGAAGAAGAAAAAAGGAAAAGTGTGTCGATTAAGAGTAAATGCTTAAAGCTGTTTTCCTGTAATGGACACTCAAACGCTCATTAGATATCACGCTACAGCTTATAACATTCATCATTTATATGCAGCGCTTTTCCTCCGTGTCAGTTGCTATTGACAGGTACACAACCTCTCATGTGGTCACATCCTGTCTCTCTGCAGCCATGTCTCCTTTTACCCAGGATCCTTCATTAATGCCCTTTCCATTCATCCATCAGATAGCATCTTTCTCAAACACCTGGCTGATCCTCCGTCAGACCTTCAGAATGACGTCAGTGACACATTAAACCTTTATGTTTAACCCTGGTGTCACCAAGTATCGCATTGTTTCTGCCAGTATTCTGTGTCACACATTATTATCAAGTAATGCAAACATCAACAAACAAATCAGAATGATAGAAACGCAAAAATAGACATTTGATCTTTTATGAATGACGCATGAATCCCAGAGATTAAACTGGTAATGCGTGCTTAACGATGATGTACCTCTGATGTCATATTTAAGACCCATGGGCCAATCATGCTGCTCGGCCGGCTCTACTGTACTAGAAAAACATATTAACATCTAGATTTCTGGACTGACTGAACAACACAGGGAATTAAATCTGATCTGAGCTCACTATTATATACTTTTATGTTCCAGACCGTTTATACTTTGGAGATGAGTGTCTTGTTCCTGCTATAGCTGCTGCAGGCAGGCACGCACACACACGCACACACTCACCCACACACACACATATTGGTAGAGTGGCATCCCAATGGCCCATGTAATCCCCTTGGCTGTAATCTGTGTCTCTATGCAGTCAGATTAGTTTAGATTTGGAATTTATGTCGTTTCAAACAGAGGGCACAAGCTTCCATAAGCCACCATGAGCAGTACGTCTATTATCACCTACAATAACGGATAATATTCAACATAAAATATACTTTTTTCTAGAGAAATTAAGGGTAATAATTGAATGCCATTCTTAAAGCTAGAGTTCACAAACCTTGTAAAACCTATTTGTGATAATGTCCTGCTTAATAGAGTTAATTTATTAACAAAAAATGACTGATTTTCAAAGTTATAGATTCTACTTCCTGTAAACAGAGTAAAGATAACTTGCCTTGTGTATCTGCAGTGCACATTTTACATCAATTTTCTCTAAAAAAAGAGGCTCAACATAACACCCTTTCAGCAACAAGAAAACACAACATTTTTCATAGATGATCAAAGTAAAGTATGTTTCCCGTATTTTGTTTAACAGTAAAATAAGTACAATCTGCAGAAGATAAATTAGTGTCCCTCTTTCTGTATTTGAAGCAGTTCAGCAGGGAGTCATTCCACAGTAATGACTTAATAAACGTATCTAACAACCACAGACAGTGCTTCTCAATGGCAGCTGGACACCAGTAAAATGACATCTGGACCCATCCAATTCTGGCCTAGCTTTCTGTCTAAATCTAGAAAGCTGCTAGCACCATATGTATTTGTACTGGGGAGAAAGGTTGACATTTCTGAACATTGAAAGATACAACTTCAAAAAGTGCTGCATATCTTTACAGAGTAAGATATTCTTTCATATGACATTTCCATGGCTGGTATTTGTTTACAGGGAGTACAATTACTAAAGTATTGCAGATACAGCTGGAATCTCATATGGAGGCAAAATACAACATACAAATTGTATTTATTATACTATAAAAAAGAAAAACCTGACTACAAACAGGTGTTCATCACTGGTTTATCTTCTCACATATGGTGTGTTTTTGTCATATTTGAAAGCTATTTTGAGTACAAAGCTTTCTCAAAGTAGGGGTTAAATAAATAAATACATTATAAATACTACATTTACAAGTGTGGGTCCACCTTAAAAGGCTGTGTACTGTAAGGCGTTGTGTTAAATGTAAATTGCTGCATAAGAAAATCTTATTTGACTGCTCAGGTAACTACATTAAAGAATACAATTGCAAGTAGATTTGGCAACAACTTTACACGGTGTAAAGTACACAGTTGGGTTAGAGGTTTTACATTTCATTAGGAGTATATGTGAAGCAGTACTCACATATGGGGGGGTGTCGACGCTGTCGGTGTTGACCACCACTGGAGGGGGGTTGGCCTGCAAGAGAGAACAGCAAAGTGATTAAACATTTATAGCGCGAAGGAAATGATGGGGAAACCTAAGACATACAGTATGTATTTCACCAAGACGACGATGCTCCATGTAAACTGAAATGAACCACACATACACACAGAGATTTGAGGTAGAGGACTTACTCGTCTCATGTTTTGGTACAGCATGCTGAGTACATCTGCTACAGATTACCACTACGGAGCGACAGCAAACACCGCATGACATACTGCACAGCCCTTATATTGGACAATACTAAAGTACGGCACTGCAAAAGCGCACTGTAACATAAAGCTCTGTTACTGTGCCAGAAAGTACTCAGAGCAACTCAGTACTGCGCCACAAAGCCTGTACTTTTACATTTTAGATTGAACTCTGATGTAGATACTATACTCTACTAGTCTGTCCTCTCAACTGCATGAGTCCGGAGTTACATCAACATCCCAGATCCTTCTACTTTGTTATGGATCCATACTGAAATGCCCAACAATAACAATCTCCCCCTCTCTATGGTGTGCTGTCTTGTTCTTCCTTCCTGCCCTCCCCCCTTCTTCTTCTTCTCTAAGCAAAGTCTCCTCTTTCTCCCTGGCCTCCTGCTACGGTCCCGGTCTGAGCAGGTCACTTTTCAATCTAAAAGAGCTCGGGTTAAAGAAGCAGCAGCAGATGACTGACATTATCTTTCCTCTTGCTTCCTACACTAACACAGCAAATGTGAAATCTCACTCTAGCTAGTACTTAGCCACAAGGTGTCTTTTTCCTCTAATGTTTGCAAGTTGAGCACCATACCCCATCTTATGCCACCTGTCTCCACTTTTCCCCCTCCTCTCCTCTTACTTTCTCCCAAGAGAAATGTAATGCTCTCCGAGTCCAGCGTCTGCAGATCTAGCCTCTTCCAGCAAATCAGCAGTGAGCAAACCAGTCCATATCAATTAATCTGAAGTGCCAGTTCTTGTTCTGCAGCCAAAACAACTAACAAATCAGCGAACCAAACATCAAACAAGCTAGCAAACCAAATGGACAGTGCACCCAGACTTATTCACGGCATCAATGTGCAACAGACAGCAATAGCATCTATCCCGCTACACTAATCTCTACCTCCCTCATCCCCCCTTTTTCTACTCCTTTATCTTTTCTCCCACACACACACATGTATTATCTCACTCCATGTATCTCTCTCTCTCTCCACCACATGTCAAGCTGTCTGTCAGTCAAGCTGACAGGATGCTTGATCCCACACGGGAACAGAAAGGGAGAGAGAGGGGGGATCAGAGGGATTATACAGTACGTATGGTGGGAGGAGTCAAATCGGCCTGATCAACAACAGCGATGAGGAGCAGAGGGTGCAGACAGATGCAACCCCCCACCAATAAAAAAAGACATGAGTTAAAAAAGATAAAGACGTAATGTTGGGAGAACAGAAACGAATGAAAGAAGGAGGCAGTGGGGAGGAGACAGTGCATCTGCAGCTGTTAGGGTGTGTGTGTGGGGGTGTGTGTGTGGGGGTGTGTGTGTGTGTGTGTGTGTGTGTGTGTGTGTGTGTGTGTGTGTGTGTGTGTGTGTGTGTGTGTGTGTGTGTATTAATGATGTAGGTGATACAATCTATAGATTTGCCTGTCCCACTGTTTTGGCCAAACTTGACCCACTCTACCATGCTGCACTGTGATATATATCAAATGCACCCTATAGGACTCATCATTGCAAACTGTATAGCCTAACTGGATGGTCCTCACTTAATATGCAACATTGGTTTTTATTAATGTATAAAGCCATTTTAGGTAAGCTTCCACTGTACATATGTGCCAGATTTGCCCCAGTTTGTGACTCTCACAACCTCAGATCCAGTGCCTGGATACGGTTCCAGGTACCTGCCTTGCGGACTGAGGCTGGAAAAAAGGAGGTCTTTTTCATTATGGTCCATTGGTCCTTTGGAATGACCTTCAATCACGCTTAAACTAGAGGGCACTTGTCCCCTATAGCATGTTTAAAATTGAAGTGTACTGAAGTCCTTACCACCGCTGCTCTTGCAGTAATAAGTAGTACACCTTTCTTACTGTCCTAAATGTGCACAATATAGTGACTGCTTTTTCGTCTTTTGTTTCCTTAGTTGTGTTCTCTGTATTTGACATGTTTGTGTTATCTGTAACGTGGCTGCCTTCTTGGCCAGGTCAGCATCATGGGAGAAAGAAAGATTTACAAGTGGAGGATCAATTATGCTGTATACAAGGCAATCATAAGTCCTCATATTTTCAAGTCTTTCCCAGTTGATTCCATGGAACAGTACAATGGTGATGTGTAATTTTAGCCTTTTTTTATGTGTGGGAGTAAATAATAAGTTTTATATTTCAAAATCGTGTAACCATGAAGTATACACTTAACATCACCAAAATGTACTTAACATACAGTATACAAAGTGAAAGCACTCATTATGCAGCAGAATGGTCCCTGTCAGAGGTATATTATTATAAAGATATCATTTTTAAGGATTGCACAAACTTAAAGGAGGCATTCATGTGCTCAGAATGCAGTTGTTCCTGATCAGTGCATCACATTATAAAGTTTTGATTCAAATAGATGCAGGTGAGAAAACAGTACAATATTTCACTCTAAAACGCATCAGCGTAGAATTATATAGTACAGGTCAACATTGAAATTACAATACTAACAGTTGACTACTTCTGATTTCAAAATAACACTGCAGATTATTTCAAGATATAAACCCCTTTTGAGTTGGCAGTTGGTATTTGTATGTAAATAGCAAACATGAAAAAAAAAAAGTCGCCCAAAATGTAATAAAAAAATTAGGAACGATCAATATCACCAGAGGAACCTAGATAATAATGATTAAGGAACAAATGATAAGCTGTCATCCAAACTTTTTCTTATCAAATACTGGATACTTTCTCTTCTACAGGCCTGTAGAAATCCTTAACAATGAAAACCCTGTGTAGGAAAAACTTACTGCTTGAACTTTGTCTAGGTCCTGGCCTGTGTGATGTGGGGGTCACAAGTTCCTAAAGTTAACTAGTCTGTCACTCTGAGTCCACTTCCGAGCCTGACCTTTACCTGACTCTTGCACCATTGTAACACCAGCCCTGTACAAAGCAGAACACTTATTATGTGTGCATTTTTGTCTGTGTTTATGTGAGTGTGTCATTCAGAGCGGCAAATCCAGTGGGTCTGTCAGCTGGTGATTCCATTGACACGCCATGTCAGACTGCACGCTTATGTAACGTCAATTTGAGTGTGTGTGTGTGTGTGTGTGTGTGTGTGTGTGTGTGTGTGTGTGTGTGTGTGTGTGTGTGTTGTGTTACATGAAAGGTTGTGGTTGTGTTACATGAAAGGTCAAGAGAACAAACGTGCAAATATAAACAAACAAGCACTAGCACACACATAGACACACACACATCCTCCATATCCAGACAGTGTGTTTCTGCACTGTGCAACTGAGTGTTAGTTGTTACATAAACTTTTACACCAGCTGTGCTATAATGGCCTTATGGCCTGTTCCAGTCCAGTAAAGCACAGCTTAGAAAGAGATCCAGAGTATCTGTGGTTTGTCTCATCAGGCTGAGACACAGACAACATTGCAGGATGTTTAAATATGTGTCGGCAGGGGTGCTGGGTTCCCTCATCGTAATTATTAAATTAGAAATTAGCAGATGAATCATGATTGGATAAGCAGGAAATCAAGGATACCAACATATCTAAATGATGCACAACAGCAGCTTGTTAGATAATAACTCCTTCATATAATCTCATGTACACCCTCATACATTCATGAACATGAAAAAGTCAGAGGGCATACAGGAAATGTTACACATTTGCGGAATGATGAGTGTTGCACATGTCTAAACACTTAATTTTGATGTTACTTGATTAGCTACATTACTTTTCATTCATACATAGAAGCCATTGTTACGAGTCGATGACTGATGCTCACATTAATACACACAAATACTACCCTCCTCATATCCATAACCACGGTCATACTAATGTGCAGTGAAACTCCATTCGACTAATGAGCTAATCAGATGAAGTGCGACTCTAATCTAATCAGAACGACCATGCTGATCAGACAATCTCTAGATAGCAGATGTAGATATAGCGCAATGACTACCCAACCGATAGCTGATAACAGGCAGCTGCATGATCTGTTAGAGTAACAACCTGTACTATGAACCTAATGTATTTATATACAACGCTCAGAGTGCAGTTCAGTGTGGAGAACAACACTGAAGCACTTCAGGCTGTCAGCGCTTCACTTAAAAGGGAAATGTATATAATAATGATAAAAGTACAACACTTAGGGGTTTGCTCACAGCGGTCAGTGTACTGTGAAGAAGTCTCATGGTGATACTGTGTGTCGGGTGAGAAGGGACATTTTTGTTGAAAAAGAAGGGCCATTTCTATCCTTCTCTTTGTGTCCCATCATTCCTTTAGCATCTGATATACTTTGACGTATTGATTCCAGGAGAACATTAAGGCAATATGGAATCAACTGTTGCTATGCTTCTTGATACAGTGTTATTCTTTCCACTTTTGTTGGAATATAAGTTGTTGTGAGATGTGATGACAATGCAGGATTTATTTATTTTTTTAAAGTCTAGTTCCTTCCTCCCTTGTGATTCAAGGTTTACTTTGCTGTAGGGCAAGGTTAAGTAAGAAAACGGCAAAAAGAAACATTGAAAATAATCTTAAATGACAATGTATGGCATCTTGATTTCCTCAACTGACCATCACCCCAACTGGTTGAAGAATGTATTCTTGAGTGCCTAAAAAAAGTGTAATACTGATATGTGTCTATTAAATATGCAAAGCATAAATATACATATTATAATAAATATTGTTATTAATATATTATTTATAAACAGTGTTCAGAATCTTCATCAGACATTAATTATTATGTTTTTGTCAGCGTTGTCCTGTGCCAGGAGAGGCCTCACACTATTTACACCATATCGATCCATCTACCAGCCAGCCATGAAACC